TCGAAAAGGTTGGAAGGAAGGGGTAAGGGAAGTTTTGTGGGCGAGGGGCTTGGACTTCCAGCAGGCATGCATGAGCGTGTTCGACAGGAGTGAATGGAGATGAATGGTATTTGGGACCTGATGATCTGTTGGAGTGTGAGCAGGGTAATATTTAGTCAAGGGATTCAGGGAAACCGGTTATTTTTATATAGCCGGACTTGAGTCCTGGAAATGGGAAGTACAATACCTGCACTCTAAAGGAGGGGTTCGGGATATTGGCAGTTTGGAGGGATATGTTGTGTATCTTTATACGTATATGCTTCTAAACTGTTGTATTCTGAGCACCTCTGCAAAAACAATGATTATGTGTGAGTGAGGTGAAAGTGTTGAATGATGATGAAAGTATTTTCTTTTTGGGGATTTCCTTTCTTTTAGGGTCACCCTGCCTTGGTGGGAGACGGCCGACTTGTTGAGAGAGAGGAGAGAGAGAGAGAAAAAAAAAATAATTATATATATATATATATATACACATACACACACACATACACACATACATACATACATGTACCATCCGACTTACGACCAAGCTTGGTTCCAACCAACCGGTTGTATGTCAAAATGGACTTAAGTCGAACCTTTGAAAATTGCTGACATACTGGGTACGGCATAATGTCAAACTTTTCCTATATAAACTACCTACATAGTACTGTAATGTAATGTACAATCATTATTTCATTCTTTTTACCATAATTTACTTCTATTGTTATATTTTAATTATTTATGTACTGTATATAATGTATACATGGTAGTGAACTGTATTGTAAATTTTACATCACATACAGTATCATGTGTTATTGTTATCTTTATGTATTGTTGACACAGTGGAATGGGAGAATACCACTGGTAGTGTCATCCTGCCAGAATGTTGTGTAACCTATACCCTAAATAAAGAGAAACAACTCTGGAATATGTGTAATACGTATCCAGCTGACTGACTGAGGCTCTCTCTCTCACAGGTACACGTAATTATCATACATAGTATAAATTACCTAGGATAACCCAAAAAATCCAGACAGTGCTATACAGTGGATCTGTGCTCCAGTGCCCTAAATTAATAATAATTTTAATGAAAATAATTTTAATGAAAATAAGAAAAAATTTTGGAGTGAGTTAAACAAGTTAAGAAAGCCTAGGGAAAGTATGGATTTGTCAGTTAAAAACAGAGTAGGGGAGTTAGTAGATGGGGAGAGGGAGGTATTAGGTAGATGGCGAGAATATTTTGAGGAACTTTTAAATGTTGAGGAAGAAAGGGAGGCGGCAATTTCATGCACTGGCCAGGGAGGTATACCATCTTTTAGGAGTGAAGAAGAGCAGAATGTAAGTGTGGTGGAGGTACGTGAGGCATTACGTAGAATGAAAGGGGGTAAAGCAGCTGGAACTGATGGGATCATGACAGAAATGTTAAAAGCAGGGGGGATATAGTGTTGGAGTGGTTGGTACTTTTGTTTAATAAATGTATGAAAGAGGGGAAGGTACCTAGTGATTGGCAGAGAGCATGTATAGTCCCTTTATATAAAGGGAAAGGGGACAAAAGAGATTGTAAAAATTATAGAGGAATAAGTTTACTGAGTATACCAGGAAAAGTATACAGTAGGGTTATAATTGAAAGAATTAGAGGTAAGACAGAATGTAGGATTGCGGATGAGCAGGGAGGCTTCAGAGTGGGTAGGGGATGTGTAGATCAAGTGTTTACATTGAAGCATATATGTGAACAGTATTTAGATAAAGGTAGGGAAGTTTTTATTGCATTTATGGATTTAGAAAAGGCATATGATACAGTGGATAGAGGAGCAATGTGGCAGATGTTGCAAGTATATGGAATAGGTGGTAAGTTACTAAATGCTGTAAAGAGCTTTTATGAGGATAGTGAGGCTCAGGTTAGGGTGTGTAGAAGAGAGGGAGAATACTTCCCGGTAAAAGTAGGTCTTAGACAGGGATGTGTAATGTCACCATGGTTGTTTAATATATTTATAGATGGGGCTGTAAAAGAAGTAAATGCTAGGGAGTTCGGGAGAGGGGGGGGGTTAAATTATGGGGAATCAAATTCAAAATGGGAATTGACACAGTTACTTTTTGCTGATGATACTGTGCTTATGGGAAATTCTAAAGAAAAATTGCAAAGGTTAGTGGATGAGTTTGAGAATGTGTGTAAAGGTAGAAAGTTGAAAGTGAACATAGAAAAGAGTAAGGTGATGAGGGTATCAAATGATTTAGATAAAGAAAAATTGGATATCAAATTGGGGAGGAGTAGTATGGAAGAAGTGAATGTTTTCAGATACTTGGGAGTTGACGTGTCGGCGGATGGATTTATGAAGGATGAGGTTAATCATAGAATTGATGAGGGAAAAAAGGCGAGTGGTGCGTTGAGGTATATGTGGAGTCAAAAAACGTTATCTATGGAGGCAAGAAGGGAATGTATGAAAGTATAGTAGTACCAACACTCTTATATGGATGTGAAGCTTGGGTGGTAAATGCAGCAGCGAGGAGACGGTTGGAGGCAGTGGAGATGTCCTGTCTAAGGGCAATGTGTGGTGTAAATATTATGCAGAAAATTCGGAGTGTGGAAATTAGGAGAAGGTGTGGAGTTAATAAAAGCATTAGTCAGAGGGCAGAAGAGGGGTTGTTGAGGTGGTTTGGTCATTTAGAGAGAATGGATCAAAGTAGAATGACATGGAAAGCATATAAATCTATAGGGGAAGGAAAGAGGGGTAGGGGTCGTCCTCGAAAGGGTTGGAAAGAGGGGGTAAAGGAGGTTTTGTGGGCGAGGGGCTTGGACTTCCAGCAAGCGTGCATGAGCATGTTAGATAGGAGTGAATGATACTTGGGACCTGACGATCTGTTGGAGTGTGAGCAGGGTAATATTTAGTGAAGGGATTCAGGGAAACCGGTTATTTTCATATAGTCGGACTTGAGTCCTGGAAATGGGAAGTACAATGCCTGCACTTTAAAGGAGTGGTTTGGGATATTGGCAGTTTGGAGGGATATGTTGTGTATCTTTATACGTATATGCTTCTAAACTGTTGTATTCTGAGCACCTCTGCAAAAGCAGTGATAATGTGTGAGTGTGGTGAAAGTGTTGAGTGATGATGAAAGTATTTTCTTTTTGGGGATTTTTTCTTTTTTGGGTCACCCTGCCTTGGTGGGAGACGACCGACTTGTTGAAAAAAAAAAAAATATATATATATATTACACACGCATATATTCCTAAGTAGTAGGTTGGTAGACAGCAACTGTCTAGGGAGGTACTACTATCCTGCCAAGAGAGTGTAAAACGATAGCCTTTAACTGCTTTGCATGATGGTAGGATTGCTGGTGTCCTTTGTCTGTCTCATAAATATGCAAGATTACAGGTACGTCTTGCTACTTCTACTTACACTTAGATCACACTACACGTGCACGTACAAGTGCGCGCGCATGCATGCACACACGCATGCACACATGCACACGCACGCGCACACGCACGCACACACGTGCACACACACGCGCACACCCCTTCTGGGGGTTCTATCATTGTACTAGTTCTTGTTCTTTTTTATTTCCACTTATGTCCATGGGGAAGTAGAACAGAATTCTTCCTCCGTAAGCCAAGCATGTCACAAGAGGCAACTAAAATGCCAGGAGCAAGGGGGCTAGTAACCCCTTCTCCTGTATATATTACTAAATGTAAAAGGAGAAACTTTCATTTTTTCTTTTGGGCCACCCCGCCTCGGTGGAATACGGCCGGTACGTTGAAAGAAAATACATACACATAAGAAACTACACAAAGTTGAGAGGAAGGGCCATGGTCACAAGAGTAGCATACAGTCACGTTAGACTCAAGCACCGGGCTCCGGGGAACCTTGATCAAAGCTATGGTTGACAGCATGCTACTCAGAGCAACATCAACCCAGGGGGAAGCAAGGTTGCAACAATTGGCCACAAACTTGCACCTGACCCTTTCACTGCCCGGTGACCCCGAAATGTTCATAAAAAAATATACACTGAAATAACAGAGAATGTTTTTGTGAAGGTAACGACACCAAAAGTATTAAATTTGGTGGAAAACTTAGTGAATTATGCTGGTGCAAAGTTAGCAGTCTGGACCATATTTATGCACCAGTAATTTTGTCCACTTTGAGGCCTATTTTAGGCCAGTTACATTGTTCCAGTTGACCAAATTCTTAGCTATTTCACCAGTATGTCTTCCATTCCTACTGAGTACAAGGAACTGCCCAATCAACTATTTCAGCTGCCCAATTAAGTGGTCAGAAGTCAAAAATTTGGCCAAATTTATACAAAATTCAAAATTTCCAATTTAATAATAGTCCAGAATAAACAATGCAGACATTGATGGCTCCATTTCAAGCTACTTCCAGTCCTGAAACTAAATCAAAATCATCACTACTTCTGTAATATATCTTCCATTCTATCGAACAAGACCAAGAAACCCAGAATAAAACCATAAAAGCCATTGAAAAAAAACACCTCAAAGTTGCCGTTTTAAACCAAACAGACATCACTTATCCCATCATGCACTGTGTGGGGCAGGACTTTCCTATTCACTGCACACACACCACAGACCTATTCTCTCATATCTAGGCCTAAACATACTACTGACAGCTTACCTGAGGGAGCTTAAGGGTGGGGAGAGAGCCTTCTGCTTTACTATGCCTGCCTCACACACCTAGATGATGAAGAACTATGTGAGGGATAGCAAAGTGTTGAGAGGAAGACCTGACACCACTTCCACCTAATCTGGATCAAAACATCTAAGCGAAGATTTTCTCCACACACACAACACACTGTCAACATTACACCTGTGGTACATAGGTGTTAACAATAGCCACACCTGTGTTAACATGCTAAAACAATGCAGTAGATCCCTTGACCATTCATGGCCACCCAGAGCTATGCTACTACCACAGCAGCCTGGCCCTGCACTGGGCTGCTGTGGTACTCAGTATAAGTCAGTGTGTACTCACCTTGTATTCTTGTCATCAGTGTGGTTCAGCGAGTCCTTACTCATCTCCATGAGTCGCATCGCTTCATTTACGTCCTCCTTTGCTACCTGTAAATATACAGGAATACATTTTTAAATTGTTTAGTCAGTTGTCTTATAAAGTTCCTCTATATACAGTTCTGTTATAAAGGAATTATACAGACAAGACAGGTTATCTGCTTGAACTGTCTATCTAGGTTAATAACTACCACTATCTGAACTATCATTAGTCAAGAATAGTGAAGCACAAAGACAATGAAAAAGTGTTCAAGAAAAAGGATAACTTACGAGATGGACCAGCCTGAGCCTGGCCAGGGCCGTGGACAACCTCAGCACAGCCAGCAGTGTGCGTGCTGAGGTGAAGGTCATGTCCTTGCTGTTGCGCGCTTCCTTACGCATCTCTACGTACGCTGACACTATGTAGTCAGTCAGCGACTCTGGGATCTTGGGTTGCTGGAACAATGGTACAATGTTAGGTTCTGGTATTATTTGTATTAGTAGATACTCTTAACATGTTGTTTTGGTACTATCTACATGAACAGTTGTACACAACATACTGTACATACAACACCCCACAAACACAGACAAACACACATACACACTACATACCTTCTTCTTACAAAGAGAGATGTACCGCCTCATCACCTTCATATCCAGTGGTTTAAACTGTGTGGGTGGCTGTGCACAGTGTTGGTGCACATAGGTGATGTGTTGAGCCAGTCTGCAACATGTGTGCAATGATGATTAGGGGAAGAGTGCCCAGGGAAGTGACACTCGTGCAAGATGAAACACCAGTTGCAAAAATTGAATGTTTTTAAATAACCAAAGAAGAAACACATTCACCATTATTCAGTCAATTGCTGTCCAGAAGTGAAGGATGAGTGAGGATGTTACAATCACAGCATCAACCACGATAAAACAACATTCACCTTAACATGAAAGCAATCAACTTAACGATTAAAAAATTTCTTCTCTCAATTGCCCTAAAAACCAAACCTGCTCAACTTACCTCAAATCATTCTCTCGATCCGGTCTATCCTGTATCAGCCAGAGTAGATCGAAACGAGACAGGAGAGCTGCAGGCAGCTGAATATTTTGTTCTACAGTCTTCTTAGGATTGTAGCGACCATATGCAGGATTCGCCGCCGCAAGGATGCTCACGCGGGCGTTTAGGCTAGTCATTATACCTGCCTGTAACCATGCAATATATTACAGCATTATACAGAGCACACAGAATTATACACAGAATTATATGGAGCATGTATAGAATTACAGTGGACTTTACAGCAATAAATTACCTTACAGTCATTAGAGCAGTGCAATTACCTTAAGTCGTAACATTAATTACTTTACAGACATTACAGCAGATTAATTACCTTACAGACACTCCACAATTACCTTACACTACAGCAGATTGATTACCTTAGCAATGGATATAGTCTGCTGTTCCATGACCTCGTGTATGGCTGTGCGGTCGGCCTCGGCCATCTTGTCGAACTCGTCGATGCAACAGACACCCTGGTCAGCCAGGACAAGAGCCCCACCCTCCAGGGTCATCTCCCCAGTCAGGGGGTCCTTCATGACTGCTGCTGTCAGGCCGACCCCGGTTGACCCCCGGCCGGTGGTGTACTGGCTCCTCGGGGCCAGGCGGTCGACGTAGGCCAGGAGCTGTGACTTGGCCACCCCGGGGTCCCCCATGAGACACAGGTTGATGGCCCCACGGATCTTCATTCCATTGGGGTTGCAATCGACCCCCCCGACCAGCAACAGCAATATGGCCTTCTTGATGTCCTCGTGGCCATAGATCTCTGGGGCGATGGACGTGGCCAGCTTCTTGTAAAAGTCGTCCTCTGCTATTAACTTGATCTCCGCCTCTGTCAGGTCCTCCGATCCTAGCTCGTCGTCCTCTGTCTTGTTCATCCGCACCACACGCTACACAAAAAAGTTCATAAACTTCAACTTTAGGTCCTTAAAAATACCAATCTTTACACGAGCCTCCAGCAGACCCTACATGATGGCACAGTCGTGTCATGAATAGTAATCTTACACAAACTACTAGCACAATCTTACATGAGCATCCAGGTAGGTGTCAGACAGCAGACCCTGCATGATGGCGCGGAATCCCTGACGCAGGAGCGGCATGAAGATGCCAGTGATGGCAACATGGTCACCAGGTTGACACAGTCGCGTCTGTTCGCCGCGACACATCACTGTCAGGGAGCGCGGGATGTTACCAACTGGTACCTGCACGACACTAATAACTTACTTGATGATCTTGCTATGTGGGTGAGTGTAATGGTGCACTTACATTCAAATACTGAACCAAGTGTAATAGAGGCACTTTTCAAGCTTAAAATACTGAACAAAGTGTAATGGAGGTACTTATTCTTAATTGACTGACTTAAAAATTGAACCAAATCTCCATTCAGTTGCTGGAACAACAGACACCTGAACTTACAGTTGCTGGAACAACAGTTCACATACCTGGTCAGAGTGTTCCTGAACTTTAAGTTCCTGGAACTTAATGAACTTGGATCCTCGCGTCTGAAGGTACAATCGTCCACCGGACTTGTTGACACGACAATCCTCGCTGGGGCACAACAACTGTGGCATGAAGCTGGACGATTGTACCTGAATGATGTAAGAACAACTTATGAAGCAGCACAACAGTAGGCCTACTAAAAAAAAATAATTACTAGAGTCAAATTCAAAGCTAATGAATTGTGAATTAAGTTCTCTTACAAAGCTCCACTATAAACAGTCAGTTCCCTTATAAATCAACAGGCACCACAGCAACACCACTCACTGGTTGATAGGTCTCTGCACCACACTGGTCACAGGTGTAGGTTGCAACTTGCATCATAGGCTTGACTTCCGTGCACCTGGTCACGATGCCACGAACCAACACTAACTTCCCCACGTGCGTGGCCTTCACGCTTCTGATAGACAGTGCCTTCTGAGTAGATGGTGCTTTGAAGTACACTTCACTGGAAAACAAAGTGGATTACAGGCACTTACAACAGTGATGTCAGTCTAAGGAGAGTAAATTAGCACTGCAGAAGAGCTACTGGTTCACAACTGGTGGGACTAGAAACACAGGGAGGGGAAGAACTGAAGGCTATAACACTAGACAGAAGAGAAAGAAATAATTTAAAAAGAAGAGAAGAGATAGGAAGAGAAGAAATGATCAGGTTGTCATGAGTATTCTGAAGCTTGAAGCATTTGACAATGCGAGGAGAAAGGAAGGTATATACAGAGATATTGCCAGGATTAAGCCAAGACCAAGCCATGACCAAGATTATATGTAGCCCAGAACCTAACCTGATCAATAAGTGGTGCCCTCATGTACTAGGAAAGTTGTATAGAGTACACACAACACAACATACACAAACACTACCACACTACACACTACACTAAAGAAGTAACTCACAATCTCCTTATCAACTCTGGTGGATAAGAGTTGCGAGGGTCGCGGGAGTCGCCAGGTTGACGCAGTCGTTGTTCCATCATTAACCGGTGTTCAATGTACACATCCAGGGCATCCCTCGCCACTGTCTAGCAAAACAACCACAAGTCAGTTTTACATGCAATCTATGCAATAAACCATAATCTCTATGCAATAAATGAGTCAATGATCCTGGTGCAATGAGTTGATCCTTGTGCTATAAAAGAGTCAATTTTGATGCAAAAGCAACTGGTTTTGCTTGTGTGTGTGTCCTTGCAAGGTAGTATGACTTGCAATCATAGAAGAATTACTTTTATCATCATTCACACAACTGCTGTCTTGCTAAAACTGTGGTAATATCAGTTCAGATTTTAATAGGCCTAATTCAATTATTGGAGGCTGTATATCATTAACAATCTTTCCAGGTTATATTTTATCAAACCAGAAATATTTTTTCACCTCAGTAAATAGTTTTTCATGTGTGAATAAGAATTCAAAATGGAAAGGAAGGGTGGTATGAGAGGCCTAGGGACATGAAGTAAAACAGGGGAAAATGTTTTGTGCCAGCAGTGTCTAGTGTTAACATTTTTTAAAAGGCATTTTTTAAATTTTTTTTGGGGAAAAACGGAAAAATTAAAACAACTTCAGTACATTTTATGGGCCAGTTATAAAAGTTAAACTGCTTTTTTGGGCTCAGTTGATAGAATGAAAGACAATCGACGACCCCCCCACCGTAGCTAAAACATAAAAACCACCTATTTTTTTATCATCACACTAAAAAAAACCTAACTACTCGTATCTGAGAGTCCCCACAATCACACTCACCAAATTGACTGTAAACATAGAAAAATAATAAAACTATTACTTAATGAATCTTAAACCAGTCATAAGTTTGCCTGAGATACCCCAATATAGGAGCTTTAATAGAAACTACAAGACCATTCACATTGCTAAATTTACAAACTGTAATGCATTTACCTACCTTAAAACAAAAGCTCCCTAATCTGTACCAATAGAGTTTGAATTAATCTTATTCTGCCCGAAATGCCTAGTCATGCTAGGTGTGATAGTGGCCCTCTCTAATTAGTATTTTATAGTATGTCAACCACACATTGTAACCAATATCCAATAATATGTCAACCACACATTGTAACCAATATCCAATAATATGTCAACCACACATTGTAACCCAAATCCAATAATATTCAACCACACTTGTAACCAATATCCAAAAATATGTCAACCCACATTTAACCAATATCCAAAAATATGTCAACCACACATTGTAACCAATATCCAATAATATGTCAACCACACATTGTAACCAATATCCAATAATATGTCAACCACACATTGTAACCAATATCCAATAATATGTCAACCACACATTGTAACCAATATCCAATAATATGTCAACCACACATTGTAACCAATATCCAATAATATGTCAACCACACATTGTAACCAATATCCAATAATATGTCAACCACACATTGTAACCAATATCCAATAATATGTCAACCACACATTGTAATCTTTACAGAGAAAAAAACTTGATTGAAATAGCTAAGAATTTGGTTGACAAACTATGGAATGGGCCTAAAATAGGCCAAAATCACCACTGCACAAACTGCATCCAGACTGCTAACTTTGCACCAGTGTAAGTACCTAAATCTTTCCATCAAATTTTGTACTTTTGGTGTCATTACCTTCAGAAAAAGCATTCTCTACCATTCTATTAGAAGGATGGGTGTTAATACGTTGCAGATTTATAAATGTAGTGTAGATGCACTTCTGGCAACAGTGATGGAGTGAATGATGATGAAAGTGTTTCTTCTTTTTCAGGTCTCCTGCCTTGGTGGGAGACTGTCAATGTTAATAAAAAATAATACTGGGAACAATATTAATTTCAGGAATCTTGACAGTGAAAGGGTTAATGTGAATTTTAAGTATACATATAGACACATACACCTCTGTGTATACATACACAGATGTACACCTGTGTATACATACACAGATGTACACCTGTGTATACATACCATTAGTGACAACTCGCAATAAAATGATTGCAAACCACAGAATGGGCGAGGTTTGAACCAAAATGCTCAGGCATGCTAGTGGCTTTCTCTGTACTCAACAGTACTCTATTACGTGTAAACTACATTTTGTATACTACACAAAACCATAAAATATTCATTTTTTTTTTTTTTTTTTTGAAAACTCCAGGGCATTAAATAAGCCACTGGTCCAGTTGTTAACACACTGGCCTGGAATTTTACTACTCGCTTGGCACTGGTTCAACCTTCGTCCGTTCCATGGCTTTCTTCCTGTCAATTCCGGCCATGGTTGTACCTCTTTCTGTTTGTAGTCTGGTAGTAGTTCGTAGACAGCCTCAGAGAAGAGATTGATGTACCTACGACTGTTTTGAACCATAGCCTCGGCCATATCAGGGTCAAACTCCACTGAAAAGTAAACTGTAATATAGTACAGTAAAACCATGTTGCAATGTACTAACAGCGAATGTCCCTTATACCAGGATAATGTAAAAATTGGTGTACTAAGTACTCCATATACATCTATTATAGCACTGAAGCATTATGACGACCTAGCACTGCTAGATTCTCTAGATTCAAACATCTCTAGTGGACAACTGTAATCGACTTACCATGGTTCAACTTTACAATGGTGTGGCAGTAATAATTTTGAAGATGAGACTTAAATTAGGCAGCTTGAAGACAGCAAGTCCCTAACTCATACAGCCTCTCCTCACTTAGCAACATACTCATTTACTGACGACCAGTATACAAACCTAAATAATGTATATTAGAGTAGATTTCCTCTATTCTGTTTATTACAATATACATATAGTACACTACTGTATAAACAAATATGTACCAGAAATGTTATAAATGGTGCAAAGGTGATATTATAATATCAAAGATGGTTGACACAAACCCACTACCATTATAGTATGCTCCTCACTTAGCGACAAATTCGTTTACCAATGTGGTCTTAGGAATGTAACTCTGTCTTTAAGTGAGGAGAGGCTGTATCCATTTACTGACTTTTCAATACCGGTATTTAGTTAGTTACACTAAATTATTTCCTCATTGACTTATTCACTGACTTAATTTATATTCGACTTACGACATCTTTAACTTATGAAGGGTTTGTCGGAATTTAACTCAATCTTAAGTCGAGAATCAACTACATCATACACACAGTACTGTAATTAAGCCATAATCTGCATAAATGCAACAAAATTATACAAGTGTAACCTAGACTAACAACCTCGAATGACAACCTCTGGACCAATATATTAGTTACTATTATAGCAGGGATAATCACAGACAATATTATTGATCATTAACCCACCTTTCTCATAACCAACATATGTCAAACACCACATGATGAGACATCAATCAATAACTTCACATCATCACTAAGGGCATTGATGAATGGAGTAAAAAAAAAAAAAATCTTTACAACAGACAATGCTCTACTGAAGCTAAACAGATCACAGGCATGACTAGGCAGCCCATGGTTAATAGATAGCATCCTCAGATACATAGAAAAGAAATAGATAAAAAAAAAAAAGAAAGACTGGGATTAAAGAACAAATAAAAAATATATGTCTACTTACCCTTCACTTCCCTTCCTATTATCACTAAAACTACTTTCCCTACTTTCTATTACTACTACCACTACTTTTCTTCCTCTTCTGGTCCCTTCCTTGTCCTCATTACCTATATATACTGACTCCCTCACTCATCTATCTGCATAACAACCATAATTTTTAAAGGGGTGGAGAGGTAAGCCAGCAGAAGGCCTCTGTCAGATGACCAAAGGCTCCAGTGGCAGGTCATCATATGCCTAAGACCAGCATCAGGAAACACTTGTCCAGTTTCCTGACTTGTCTAACTTCGATTGTGTTAAAGCGAGTTTGTAAATGGACCAAATGGGACCAAAATGTCATCTTGGGTTCCTCTCTCCTATGCACAGGATATTTGTGTATTGTTCTAGCCATAGTATTCTGCCTTTCTGTATTTTAACCCTTTCAGGGTTTCGGCCATACTAGTACGGCTTACGAGCCAGGGTTTTTGATGTACTAGTACGCCTAAATTCTAGCGCCCTCAAATCTAGTGAGAGAAAGCTGGTAGACCTACATATGAAAGAATGGGTCTATGTGGTCAGTGTGCATGGTATAAAACAAATCATGCAGCAAACAGTGCGTAATGAAAAACAAACAAACAGACTGACTGTTTTTGGATTAAAACAGCGACTTTGCACTGTATTTTCGTATGGTATTTATTGTTGTATTCTAGTTTTCCTGGTCTCATTTTATAGAATGGAAGACATATTACAGAAATTGAGATGATTTTTGACTGGTTTTACAAAGAAAAGTACCTTGAAATTGAGCTCCAAGTAGCAGAAATGTTCGATTTTTACCAAAGTTCAAAAGTAAACAAATCATGCTATGCGTCCAATACACGTCAACTGGAGAGTAATATTCTTTCACAAGTGCACTGATATTATTTATACCATTTCTACACCAATGCTGTGGTCTGCATAACAGTAAATCTTCTATTTCTTTTTTTGCGAGAATAAAAATTCAAAGTGGAAAGCAAAAGAATGTAAGAGGGGCGTGGGGACGTGACTAATGAACAGAGGAAATGTTATTTTAGTGCCAGCAATGTCTTTCTTGTTTATTCTGGACCCTATTTGGAAATTGGCATCTTTTGAAATTTGTGTGAAATTGGCAAAATTGCTAAATTCTGACCATTGTATTGGATAGTTGAAATCGGTAAATGGGTGGTTTCTTGTACTTATTCGATAGAAAAAATGGAGTTCTAGAGAAATAGTTATGATTTTTGTCAACAAGTATACTGGAATTGGCCGAAAATAGGGCTCAAAGTGGGCAAAATCGCCACTGCGTAAACATCGTCGAGACTGCTAACTTCGCGAGAGCATAATTCCGTAAGTTTTCCATCAAATTTCATACTTTTGGTGTCATTATGATCGGGAAAAGATTCTCTATCTTTTCATAAGAAAAAATAATTTTTTTTTTTTTTGAAATTTGGCCGAACCTGAGAACAAGTCTCAGAGGGCCTGTCAACCCTGAAAGGGTTAATGAAGAGCTGTTAAAAATATCAACCTGGATGACTACCAATAAACTCACACTTAACAATGACAAAACCTACATTATGTTTGGGAGCAGAGCAAGTAATGTCTAAACATCATGATTAACAAGACTCTTATTGCTAATCTATCCCTACCTTACCTATATTTGTGCCTGGGGATCCACAACAGCAAATCACCTCAGTCCAATAACAATTCAACAAAAGGCAACAGTACCAATGATAACACAGTTCACTGCTAGACAACACTCCCCAACTCCTCAAACACCTATATAATAAATTCACACATACTACATATACAAGACAATAAATTCCAATAACAATCATAATCTTAAGCACTTCCTTGATAGTTCCAACAGAACCCATAATACTAGACACAAAAATCTCTGATATTCCCCCATGTCCTGCTGAATCTTTGTAAAAACTCAATGTGTATAAAGACCCAAAACCTGAAACCGTATCTGAAAACTCCAGAGTATCTGCCAACCACTTAAACACCATACACTAATGTGATCGTTTATTTGTTTTCATTAACGGTGACTCCCACCAAGGCAAGGCGACCCCAAAAAGAAACTCACCATCATTCACTCCATTACTAACACTTAATAATGTTGACCAACTCTGTCATCCTGTATTGTCCTTGTCCATCAATCCCTCAATTCATGTACACAGCCTCATCCTTAACATATCAATTATGATCATTACACATAACTAAACCATCAAACCATACTATGGGCGGGGTTAGAACCCGCAATCAGTGTCTCAAAACTCCAGACCGTTGCGTTAGCCACTGGGTCAGCTAGTCACTAAGATTCATCCAAGTAGGTATATTTATACACCATAGGAACGTTAGCTAACCTTCCTATGGTGTATAAATATACCTAGAGTCGGATGAATCTTATTGTGGCTAGCTGGCCCAGTGGCTAACGCAACGGTCTGGAGTTTTGAGACTCTGATTGCGGGTTCTAACCCCGCCCGTAGTATGGTTTGTTTACAATCGTGTCATTACAATTTTGCGAGTCACTAAACCATCAATTATACATAGCGGAACCTGGGTTTTCGTAAGCCCTAGTCTGTATGTAAAACTATAATTAGTCTCTACAAAATGTATTTTTTGTTAATATTTCCCATAAGAAATCATGTAAATCCAATTACTAATCCCTTCCACTCAAAAATATTAAAAAAATACATTTTATAGAGAATAACTATAGTTTTACATACAGACTTGGGCATATGAAAACCCAGGTTCCACTGTACATTTTTTTAAGACACAGGAAATGCCTCCAACATTTAAAAGAAAAGTGTATTCCTTTTCTCAGAAAATTATCCGAATTTCAAGGCTGCTAAAAATACTATGCATAAGGGTCTTTCTATAAAGTAGTTTATATATGACAATCATCCTTATTGTATAATATATGTATTTATAATATACATATTTTCTTATACGACTTTAAATAGTAGCAGGCTGTTACAAAAAACGCGATTCTAAAAGCTTAAGAGATCTCTAGTGAATACTAGAAAGGACTGCCCTTCTAGCATCCAGCCTGTTACTGGGTTTTCGTAACAAGTAGTCAGTATCCTTGTCCAATTATCCATTAGAATTCAGTATGATTCAATAGTGCTTCAAGATTACAACTGGTAGGCTACTAACTAGAGAAATTAAAATTTAATAAATTTATTAGTCATTAACCCTTTGACTGTTTCAGGCCCCTCTCTGAAACTGTCATTCTATGTCGCTCAATTTTTGAAAAAAAAAAAAATTATTTTTTCTTATGAAATGATAGAGAATCTTTTCCCGATGGTAATGACACCAAAAGTTCGAAATTTGGTCGAAAACTCGTGGAATTATGGTCCCGCGAAGTTAGCGGTCTCGGCGACATATGCGTATCGGCGATTTCGCCGACTTTGAGCCCAATTTTCAGCCAATTCCATTGTTCCAGTTGACCAAACTCATAGCTATTTCTTTAGAACTCCATTTTATCTATCAGCTGAGTACAAGAAACCTCCCATTTACTAATTTGGACTACCCAATATGGTGGTCAGAAATTGGCAATTTGGCCAATTTCACGCAAAATAAAAAAGATCCCAATTTCAAAATAGGGTCCAGAATAAACAAGGTAGACATTCGTGGCACTAAAATAACATATGCTCTGTTCATTAGTCACATCTCTAGGCCCCTCTTATATTATTATTGCTTTCTATTTTGATTTTTTATTCATACAAAAAAATACAAAATTTACTGTTATGCAGACGACTGCATTATTGTTAAAATGGTATAAATAATATCAGTGCACAAGTGAAAGAATATTAGACTCCCTAGTTGACGTGTATTGGACGTGTGGTGTGATTTATTTACTCTTCAACATTGGTAAAAATCGAACATTTTCGCTACTTTGAGCTTAGTTTCAAGGTCGTTGTCATCGTAAAAGTAATGAAAATCATCTCTATTTCTGTAATATGTTTTCCATTTTATCACCTAAGACCATGAAAACGCAAATACAATGATAAATACTATACGAAAATACACCTCAAAGTCGGCGTTTTATTCCAAAAAAACGATCAGAGTTTTTTTTTTCTCATTACGCAATGTGTGCTGCAGGATTTTTTTTATGTGGTGCACACTGACCACACAGACCCATTCTCTCACATGTGGGCCTACCAGCTTTCTCCCACTTGATTTGAAGCCGCTAGAATTATTGAGTATATATACGTCAGAAACATTGGCTCGTAAGACGTATTTATACGTCGAAAACAGTCAAAGGGTTAAGTTGTCTAGGCATACATCAAATTAAATTAAATTATTCACAGTAATTAAAATAATATCACATCTCTCGTGTACAATAGTATTGTGCTGAAAGCACATATCACATTTATAATTCTTAAGTACCGTCTGGTACATTAACATTTAATAAGATATTACAAATATGTACAAGTAAGCTTGTGTGTATGTGTATAAGTGCTCTAAGTGGTTCGCTATGTCTCACGACTCGACTAGACTTAAACAAGTGAGTGACAAAGTCCTCAAATAAACTAACTTCTTAACCAACTGGCAATCAGAACAGTCTGCTTGAACAATAAAAAGAATGCTAAGCCCAATAGCAATATAGCAAGCAACTGCGACACAGAATCAGGAACAAGGAGATATATAAAGACACTAAGTAGGGACCATCTGCAGATCCTCCACAAAAGTCACAAAACTCCCATACTACTGAATCTAAGTTCAGCATAAGAAAATCCCCGACTGTGATAATACACAGATACCAGTACAAGTTAGGTCAGAAGCTACAGCTCAGGACCTGAGTTGCTCAGAGTGTCTATGCGACACAACCTCAGTACAACGTCGAAAATCACTAAGTCTATACAATGTTCTGTGAACAGAGTTCTACAGAACTAACAAGAATAATGAGACAGACAATCTGTCCAACCACCAAGAGAGTCTAGACCAGACTGAATACTTCAGGCGAGGTGAGGACACCCCGCCTCGATCACGTGATAGCTCCGTGGACAGCTGCAGCTCAGAAACAGAAGCCGGCAGTCTAACGAGCCACAAGCAATAATTACAGTAGTTAGACAATCAAGACTTGAACTGAGCACATATTATGTTACATCCTACCTAACCAAAGGAAGCTAAGTCAAATAACAATATAAAGCAATACATTTACGATTTAGCTATTATCACAAATACAAGCAATATAAAATTATATGAAAAGGTAATAATTATATATATACACAATCATTGCAACCCATTCAGGGGTTGCAACACAGGCGCACCTCTGACAAAACAGTGATGGACTGAATGATGAAAGCGTTTCTTCTTTTCCAGGTCACCTTCGCCTTGGTGTGAAATGACTGATTAAACAATAAGGCAAGCTTGGGTTATTACAATAAATCCTCGACTGACAAACACGATTAGAATCTTCTGTATTGTGTATACTGTTATACACAATACAGGAGGTCCCCAACTTGTTATTAAGTTGAGGATTTACCGTGTTATGAATATTATACACAATTCAGGTCCCTAACATGTCTAAGATAAAGACTTCCTGTAATGTACTTTGGATACAGGTGGCAAAATTGATTTTCTACTTACCAATGTCGTCAATTTCAATGGTGAGGTCAACTTGCTCGCGATGAGCGAGTTTGACCAGCTGGGCAGCGTATTTGAAGTGTTTACGACCATCATCACCAACGTCGTGGAACTCTGCCAGGAATCGCTTGATTGCCTCTGTAATCATACATTATCACTAACAAAATTCTAGGAATTGCTTGATCCTCTCTGTAAATCACATTAAAACAATTCTGGGAATTGCTTGCCTCTAGAATTTCATATTGCAGCATTAAAAAAAATTCCAAGATTTTTATCACTTAGAAATTAGAAGCATTTATGAATATTAGTGCAATCATATATTAGGCATGCAGAATAACCACAGGGGGAGTTGAATAGCAGCTCTAGGTCTTTCATGTTGCAATCAACATATCAGGAACTTGCTATGTTGCAGAAATAAAGCAGGAAATCCAGGATGATTTGTCCAGTGTTAAAAAATTAGCCAAGTTAATCCTGTGACCTAATCCAAATGAAGCGATAAAGCGCCGGGCCTGCTAGTTTCATCACCATGGTTGAAGCTTCCTGTCCATCTTCCTCTTCATTCATAACCTAACACCCTTATAGTGTGATAATGTAAACATGTTTTTAGGCATGTATGTTCACTGGCAAGTGAAAAGAAATTGGCAATGGTCTTGGGCCTACCCTCATTTTACTGGCCAGGTTCACAGAAATACCATCACCACACACACTGTAACGTGTAAATAACCGAGCAGAAACCGGTCAAAAAGTCAGCCAAAACTACACGCTTCCACTGGGCACTGAAATAAAAAATATCCATCATAACTAACCCAGACTAGCCAAACTTAACCTTACTCTGCTACTGGTAACTAGGTTTATTTAGCTACAGGTATACACAAGTACAATCATTACATAGTAATGTGCATAACCCAGCAGAAAAAAAAAAGCCATTCAAAGCAACTTAATTCCACCCGGCACCGCCATGGCTTAATTTCCAGTGAACCGGCTGAAATGACTACTGATTGGTCCACGTGTTCTGTCCAATCATAACTAACGTACTATTATCTCCCAAAATAACAAGAACAGTCAAGAAAGGTTTATTCTGATAATAACACAATAATAAACTATCACAACAATAATATTTACAAAATATGAAGGTAACATCAATCAATATAAACTACAGGCCTACCTTACTGTCAACAGTAGGCCTCCCTTACTATACAGTAGGCCTACTTGTCTGCAGGCCTCCCTTACTGTCAATAGTAGGCCTCCCTTACTATACAGTAGGCCTCCCTTACTGTCAATAGTAGGCCTCCCTTACTGTACAGCAGGCCTCCCTTATTGTACAGTAGGCCTACTTGTCAGCAGGCCTCCTTTACTGTACAGTAGGCCTACTTGTCAGCAGGCCTCCTTTACTGTACAGTAGGCCTACTTGTCAGCAGGCCTCCCTTACTGTACAGTAGGCCTACTTGTCAGCAGGCCTCCCTTACTGTACAGTAGGCCTCCCTTACTGTACAGTAGGCCTACTTGTCAGCAGGCCTCCCTTACTGTACAGTAGGCCTACTTGTCAGCAGGCCTCCCTTACTGTACAGTAGGCCTACTTGTCAGCAGGCCTCCCTTACTGTACAGTAGGCCTACTTGTCAGCAGGCCTCCCTTACTGTACAGTAGGCCTACTTGTCAGCAGGCCTCCCTTACTGTACAGTAGGCCTACTTGTCAGCAGGCCTCCCTTACTGTACAGTAGGCCTACTTGTCAGCAGGCCTCCCTTACTGTACAGTAGGCCTACTTGTCAGCAGGCCTCCCTTACTGTACAGTAGGCCTACTTGTCAGCAGGCCTCCCTTACTGTACAGTAGGCCTACTTGTCAGCAGGCCTCCCTTACTGTACAGTAGGCCTACTTGTCAGCAGGCCTCCCTTACTGTACAGTAGGCCTACTTGTCAGCAGGCCTCCCTGTCAATAGGCCTCCCTTACTATACAGTAGGCCTACTTGTCAGGCCTCCCTTACTGTCAATAGTAGGCCTCCCTTACTGTCAATAGTAGGCCTCCCTTACTGTCAATAGTAGGCCTCCCTTACTGTCAATAGTAGGCCTCCCTTACTGTCAATAGGCCTACTTGTCAGTAGGCCTCCCTTACTGTACAGTAGGCCTACTTGTCAGCAGGCCTCCCTTACTGTCAATAGTAGGCCTCCCTTACTGTACAGCAGGCCTACTTGTCAGTAGGCCTCCCTTACTGTACAGTAGGCCTACTTGTCAGGCCTCCCTTACTGTACAGCAGGCCTACTTGTCAGCAGGCCTCCCTTACTGTACAGCAGGCCTACTTGTCAGCAGGCCTCCCTTACTGTACAGTAGGCCTACTTGTCAGCAGGCCTCCCTTACTGTCAATAGTAGGCCTCCCTTACTGTACAGTAGGCCTACTTGTCAGCAGGCCTCCCTTACTGTCAATAGTAGGCCTCCCTTACTGTGCAGTACATAAGAACATAAGAACGAAGGAACACTGCAGAAGGCCTACTGGCCCATGCGAGGCAGGTCCAAGTCCCTACCGGCTTAAGCCAATGCACCCAACCTAGTCAGGTCAGGTCACATTGACTGAAGGGAGGAACACGGCAACCGACCTGTTAGCACAAGCTATCAGGTCTAACTCACACCCACCCACATCTACTCATGTATTTATCCAACCTATTTTTAAAGCTACACAACGTTCTGGCCTCTATAACGGTACTTGGGAGTTTGTTCCACTCATCCACAACTCTATTACCAAACCAGTACTTTCCTAATCCCTCCTGAATCTGAATTTTTCCAACTTAAAACCATTGCTGCGAGTCCTGTCTAGGCTAGATATTTTCAGCACACTATTTACATCCCCTTTATTTATTTCCTGTCTTCCACTTATAAACCTCAATCATATCCCCCTAATTCTACGTCTTTCTAGAGAGTGCAGTTTCAGGGCCCTTAGTCTATCCTCATAGGGAAGGTTTCTGATACATGGGATCATCTTTGTCATCCTCCTTTGTACATTTTCCAGAGAATTTATATCCATTCTGTAATACGGTGACCAAAACTGTGCAGCATAATCTAAATGAGGCCTAACCAAGGATGTATAGAGTTGAAGAACAACCTGAGGACTCCTATTATTTATGCTTCTTGATATGAAGCCAAGGATTCTATTAGCTTTATTGCGAACACTTATGCACTGTTGTCTTGGTTTCAGATTACTGCTAACCAGAACTCCTAAATCTTTTTCGCAATCCGTAATATTAAGATCTACATTATTTAGTTTATATGTGGCATGGTTATTGTCCTGTCCAACATTTAGAACTTTGCATTTGTCTATATTAAACTGCATCTGCCACTTCTCCGACCACTGCATCAGTCTATTCAAATCTTCCTGGAGTGCTCGAATGTCCTCGTCAGAAGAATTCGACGGCCTATTTTGGTGTCATCGGCAAACTGCCGATGTCGCTTTTTATGCCCTCATCTATGTCGTTTATGTAGATTGTGAACAGCAGGGGGCCCAACACTGACCCCTGTGGAACACCGCTCGTGACGCTTCCCCACTCTGATTTCTCCCCATTTATGCAAACTCTCTGCTGCCTATTTGTCAACCATGCCTCTATCCAGGAAAAAATTTCTCCTCCTATTCCATGTGCTTTAATTTTCCTCAATAGTCTCTGATGTGGGACCCTGTCAAAAGCCTTACTGAAGTCCATATACACAATATCATATTCATTACCATGATCTACCTCCTCAAATACCTTAGTGAAAAAAGTTAATAAATTCGTAAGGCAGGAACGCCCCTTTGTAAAACCATGCTGAGATTCGTTGATTAATTTATGCTTTTCAAGGTGGCTACGAACTGCCTCGGCAATTATTGATTCCATAAATTTTCCCACTATGGAGGTTAGGCTTATTGGTCTATAGTTCGAAGCTAAGGACCTGTCACCTGTTTTGAAAATAGGTATCACATTTGCCATTTCCACTTATCTGGCACAATGCCAGTTTGTAGTGATATGTTAAAAGATTAGCCAAAGGTGTGCTAAGCTCCTCTTTACATTCCTTTAGAACCCTTGCATACAGTTCATCAGGGCCTGGGGATTTGTTAGGTTTTAATTTATCTATTTGCCTAAGGACCATGTCACTTGTGACCCTAATAGTGCACAGTTTATTATCGTCCTGTTCTACATAATTTATCATTACTGGAATATCGCTGGTATCCTCCTGTGTAAAAACTGAGAGGAAGTATGTGTTAAAAATTCTACATCATTTCCTTATCACTGTCAGTGAGCTGACCCGAGGAACTTTTGAGTGGGCCTATCTTGTCCCTGATCTTACTTCTGTATACCTGAAAGAATCCTTTTGGGTTAGTCTTCGATTCTCTTGCAACTTTAACCTCATAATCCTTTTTTGCTTTTCTAATTCCCTTTTTTATTTCTCTCTTTAACTGAATATATCGATTTTCTTAATTGCCCCTCTCCTCTTTTGATTTGCCTATATATGCCTCTCTTTTGACCAATCAGATATTTTAATCTATTGTTCATCCATTTAGGATCATTTTTGTTTGATCTGATTTCCCTATTTGGAACATAATTTGACTGAGCAGCTAGAACTATGCCCTGGAAAGCATCATATCGGCAACCATCACCACCTACCTGACCCCTAGTCAGGTCATTCCAGTTCAGCCCACCTAAGTAATTTTTCAGTCCTATGAAATCAGCCAAGCGAAAGTCAGGGACGGAGACTGATTGCCATTATTAGGGGAATTCCATGATATGTTAAAACTGAGTGATTTGTGATCACTCTCCCCAAGCTCATCATTAACCTCAAGATTATTAATTAGTGTTTCCCTACTGGCAAGAACCAAGTCAAGGAGTTTTTCCCTAGTTGGCTCTGTCACAAACTGTTTTAAAAAACAATCCTGGATCGTATCAAGAAAGTCACCCGACTCTAAATTCCTGTCAAATTGCTCCAGTCAATCTGTCTATAGTTGAAATCTCCCATTAGCACAACATTTTCGTATGTAGATGCCTTACGAATTTCGTCCCATAGAAGTTTACTGCACTCCCTATCAAGATTTGGGGCCCTGTAAATCACACCCAAAATTAGTTTTCTCGGCCCTCGAGAAGCTGTAACCAAACAGATTCAGTGGCTGACGCTTCTAATTTAATATCTTGTCTAACACAACAATTTAAATTGTCTCTGACATACATCGCTACTCCACCACCTTTCCTGTTGACCCTGTCAGTGTGGAATAATTTATAGCCTTGTATGTGACATTCAGAGGGCATCTCTCTATCTTTCAGATTGAGCAGGTCTCTGTTATAGCAATAATATCTATGTTTCCTGCACTTGCAATTAATCTTAGCTCATCTATCTTATTTCTAACACTCCTGCTATTAGTATAGTAAACCTTAAGGGAGCTAGTCCCTTGCTGCCCTCTGCTGTCCCCCTTGTTTGCTGACCTGTTCTATTGTCTTTATTTATAAACTTCATGCTGAAATGCCTTTTATACATTTACTGTTTCCAACCCTAGTGTTGCAACCTGCTTGTTTCCCACACACACCCATACCTCTATCTTCCATCAGTTTAAAATCATAGGCATTTCACCAATGGCCTTCTCAATCGAGTCTGCAAGTGCTACCACCCTGCCCCAGAGAGATGAACCCCATCCCTTGCATACATATCATGTTTGCCATAAAAGTGTTCCAGTTGTCAATGAATGGGATTGCAAGTTCCTTGCAGTATCTGTCTAGCCAGCAATTTACACCAATTGCCCTAGACAACCATTCATTTCCTACTCCCCTTCTAGGCAAGATGCTACATATGATTGGGATCCCTCCCTTAGACTTAATGAAATCTATAGCTGACCTGTACTTATCTAGCAGCTCTTCTCTCCTACCCTTCCCAATATCATTTCCACCAGCACTGAGACAGATAATGGCTTGTTCCCATTACCTGACATGATATTATCCAGTCTGTTGACAATGTCCCCAACACCAGCTCCAGGGAAGCACACTCTATCTCTCATCTTCTTATTCCTATTACAAAAAGCACGGTCAACATATCTTACCTGAGAGTCACCAACCACAAGAATGCGCTTACCTTCATTAGCAGGGGCAGTAGTACCCTTACCTTCACTGGCCACTGAAGTACATTCATCCTGGAGAACAGAGAAGCGATTTCCTACCTTCAGATCTTCACTCTTAACTTTCCTTACTCTGATGCGCCTCCCATTACTGTGAACAACTCGCCACTTGTAGCAGGTGCTGGGCTGCACCTCACTGCTGGTAGCCGTTGCTACCTCCCCACCTACAGCCTCCTCACAGTGAGAGACAGACTGCACCTCACTGCTAGAAGCCTCATTCCCCACATCTCCAACCACCTCACACTCTCTCCCAGGCCCATTGAGGTGGACCTTCAGCCTCCTAATCTCCTCCTGGAGAAGCAAGACCTCCTCCTTCAACTCTCCAAACTCAGTTTTACTGTGCAGTAGGCCTACTTGTCAACAGGCCTCCCTTACTGTCAATAGTAGGCCCACCTTATTGTCAACAGTAGGCCTACTTGTCAGCAAGCCTCCCTTACTGTCAAAAGCAGGCCTATCTTGTCAACAGTAGGCCTATGACAAACTACCAACAGCAGCCCTGACCCACATTTTAAAAGCGCTAAACTCGCATGAGGCGGTCACATAGGCCTCCAGGCTGGCTCCACGGAAGGCCCCAACTCCCCTTCCTCGGATCAAGAGCCTCATCAACGTCACATCAATTCATTTCAAGCCTAAAATACCAATTAATTTCAGGGGTTCAACATGTCGGCGCTGGATCCTGAAAAACTTTAAGTTTTCTGGAGATAAAAATGTTAATTGTGGCCTCACCTTTCTCTTGTTCGTAGTCGCGAGTCTTGGAGGCCATGAGGGTGATTCAGGGCAGGTTTGGAGGTTCTCAGGGGTGTATTTGAGGGAGAAATAAGGGAGACTCAATCTCTCACTCGTCTTCTTAACTTTTGGCGCCAACTACCACAACAATGATCGACATTCACAAGTCCGCGAAAAAACACATTTCAACTGTACTAACTAAATAACTTAGCTAATAAGTTTGTTTACATACAGGTGCACATAAATATAAATAAAAAAATTAGTATACATAGTAACATAAGTGTGATTTATCCAGGATAACCCAAAATAAGTCAAAGTAGCTTGTTTCCATTGTGGTCCTCCATAACGTCCCGTCATATTAGATAACGCACTAGGAGCCGCTTAAATTTAAATTAACTTACTTTTTTTCTAGATACATGGATTAAATAACTAGAAAATCCAGCTGAATAACAATAATTACTAAATATTTGCATTTCGGAATGTGTCGATATTGGTGGAAAAGTTGTTAAGTTAATATTTTATATTTAATTTTAGAGGGCAATTGCCTTAATAAATATGTATAATAGCATAATACAATGATGGAAAATTTAAATCAAAGTGATTTATGTGATGTTGAATAATAATTATGAAGTTTTTAAGGGCTAAAAAGGTTATAAAGATGGAAATGGTGGTGGTGCATGGAGGTATTATTAGTTCCCAGGTACATATTTTATATTTTCTTTTATGGGGTTATTCCCTTAATAAATCCCCAGTTTAGTGCATTTAAAAGATACTTAATTAAAACCGAAACTCTTCTTGATAGAGGAGTGAAGTGTGAAAAATGTGTGATAAATGAATAATAAAGTGATAAAGTTAATGATGGTGGCGATGTATGGAAACTGCAGCAAGTTAGCGCATGCGCACCATCATTGTTTAGTTTCCTGATCAGCTGTAGCAATGGTGAGTCAGGGGCGACCAAACCTCCCTATTTTCCCTTTATTTCACCCCCTTCCCGCCGTCCCACGCCCACCCACGCCCGCACACACACGCCTAACACGCCCCTTCTCCTTCTCTCCCGCAGCACAAGCTAAAATCAGCCCAGAAAGAGAAAGTAAAGCAGTTTATATCCTTCACTCAGGCGGGCGAGAAAACTGCTATTTTCTGCCTGGCTCAGAATGACTGGAAACTGGAACTGGCTTCTGACAACTTCTTCCAGAACCCTGACTTGTATTACAGAGAACAGCGGCCATCAGTCGACAAGAAGAAGCTAGAACACCTCTATAACAGATACAAAGGTACACAACACCTTTCCTCTCTTCCTTACCTTCAATTTTTTAAAAATTCTGATACTTTGTTTTCCAGTTCAAATATTTCTGTTATTAACTTATTTTATTATGTAAAATGTGTATAAATTAACCTATGACACCTTTGTAACAAGTACAAAGGTACAAAACACTAGCACACCTTTTATAATTACTGATATTTTGTTTTCCATTTGAAATAAATATATTTTACTTAATAAATCGTATTATGCAAAATATAAACTAAGAACACCTTTGTAACAGGTACAAAGGTACAAAAAACTACCACACTTTTCCTTACGTTGGAATTTAAAAAAAATCTGAATTTTTATTTTTCAGTTGAAATATTATATATTAACAGCAGCTATCCCCTCAAGGAAGGTTCCTTGATGTTGGTGAGGGGCTCTTGATTTAGGAAATTGGATCTGTGCTCCAGTTCCCCAAATTAAGCCTGAATGTCTTCCACATCCCCCCCCAGGCGCTGTATAATCCTCCGGGTTTAGCGCTTCCCCCTTGATTGTAATAATAACAGCAGCTACAACACTGTAACTGATACAAAGGTACAACAGCAGCTACAACACCTCTGTAACTAATACAAAGGTACAACAACAGTTACAACACCTCTGTAACATACAAAGGTACAACAACAGTTACAACACATCTGTAACTGATACAAAGGTACAACAGCAGTTACAACACCTCTGTAACTGATACAAAGGTACAACAGCAGCTACAACACCTCTGTAACTGATACAAAGGTATAACAGCAGTTACAACACCTCTGTAACTGATACAAAGGTACAACAGCAGTTACAACACCTCTGTAACTGATACAAAGGTACAACAGCAGCTACAACACCTCTGTAACTGATACAAAGGTACAACAACAGCTACAACACCTCTGTAACTAATACAAAGGTACAACAGCAGTTACAACACCTCTGTAACTGATACAAAGGTACAACAGCAGTTACAACACCTCTGTAACTGATACAAAGGTACAACAGTTACAACACCTCTGTAACTGATACAAAGGTACAACAACAGTTACAACACCTCTGTAACTGATACAAAGGTACAACAACAGTTACAACACCTCTGTAACTGATACAAAGGTACAACAACAGTTACAACACCTCAGTAACTGATACAAAGGTACAACAACAGTTACAACACCTCAGTAACTGATACAAAGGTACAACAGCAGCTACAACACCTCTGTAACTAATACAAAGGTACAACAGCAGCTACAACACCTCTGTAACTGATACAAAGGTACAACAGCAGTTACAACACCTCTGTAACTGATACAAAGGTACAACAACAGTTACATCTGTAACTGATACAAAGGTACAACAACAGTTACAACACCTCTGTAACTGATACAAAGGTACAACAACAGCTACAACACCTCTGTAACTGATACAAAGGTACAACAACAGTTACAACTCTGTAACTGATACAAAGGTGCAACAACAGTTACAACACCTCTGTAACTGATACAAAGGTACAACAACGGTTACAACACCTCTGTAACTGATACAAAGGTACAACAACAGTTACAACACCTCTGTAACTGATACAAAGGTACAACAGCAGCTACAACACCTCTGTAACTGATACAAAGGAACAACAGCAGCTACAACACCTCTGTAACTGATACAAAGGTACAACAGCAGTTACAACACCTCTGTAACTGATACAAAGGTACAACAGCTACAACACCTCTGTAACTGATACAAAGGTACAACAGCAGCTACAACACCTCTGTAAATGATACAAATGTACAACAACAGTTACAACACCTCTGTAACTGATACAAAGGTACTACAGCTACAACACCTCTGTAACTGATACAAAGGTACAACAGCAGCTACAACACCTCTGTAACTGATACAAAGGTACAACAGCAGCTACAACACCTCTGTAACTGATACACAGGTACAACAGCAGCTACAACACCTCTATAACTGATACAAAGGTACAACAGCTACAACACCTCTGTAACTGATACAAAAGTACAACAACAGTTACAACACCTCTGTAACTGATACAAAGGTACAACAGCAGCTACAACACCTCTGTAACTGATACAAAGGTACAACAGTTACAACACCTCTGTAACTGATACAAAGGTACAACAGCAGCTACAACACCTCTGTAACTGATACAAAGGTACAACAGCAGTTACAACACCTCTGTAACTGATAAAAAGGCACAACAGTTACAACACATCTGTAACTGATACAAAGGTACAACAGCAGTTACAACACCTCTGTAACTGATACAAAGGTACAACAGCTACAACACCTCTGTAACTGATACAAAGGTATAACAGCAGTTACAACACCTCTGTAACTGATACAAAGGTACAACAGCAGTTACAACACCTCTGTAACTGATACAAAGGTACAACAGCAGCTACAACACCTCTGTAACTGATACAAAGGTACAACAACAGCTACAACACCTCTGTAACTAATACAAAGGTACAACAGTTACAACACCTCTGTAACTGATACAAAGGTACAACAGTTACAACACCTCTGTAACTGATACAAAGGTACAACAGTTACAACACCTCTGTAACTGATACAAAGGTACAACAACAGTTACAACACCTCTGTAACTGATACAAAGGTACAACAACAGTTACAACACCTCTGTAACTGATACAAAGGTACAACAACAGTTACAACACCTCAGTAACTGATACAAAGGTACAACAGCACTGTCAAAACAACACCTCTGTAACTAATACAAAGGTACAACAGCAGCTACAACTCTGTAACTGATACAAAGGTACAACAGCAGTTACAACACCTCTGTAACTGATACAAAGGTACAACAACAGTTACAACACATCTGTAACTGATACAAAGGTACAACAACAGTTACAACACCTCTGTAACTGATACAAAGGTACAACAACAGCTACAACACCTCTGTAACTGATACAAAGGTACAACAACAGTTACAACTCTGTAACTGATACAAAGGTACAACAGTTACAACACCTCTGTAACTGATACAAAGGTACAACAGTTACAACACCTCTGTAACTGATACAAAGGTACAACAGCAGCTACAACACCTCTGTAACTGATACAAAGGTACAACAGCAGCTACAACACCTCTAACTGATACAAAGGTACAACAGCAGTTACAACACCTCTGTAACTGATACAAAGGTACAACAGCTACAACACATCTGTAACTGATACAAAGGTACAACAGCAGCTACAACACCTCTGTAACTGATACAAATGTACAACAACAGTTACAACACCTCTGTAACTGATACAAAGGTACTACAGCAGCTACAACACCTCTGTAACTGATACAAAAGTACAACAGTTACAACACCTCTGTAACTGATACAAAGGTACAACAGCAGCTACAACACCTCTGTAACTGATACAAAGGTACAACAGTTACAACACCTCTGTAACTGATACAAAGGTACAACAGCAGCTACAAAACCTCTGTAACTGATACAAAGGTACAACAGCAGTTACAACACCTCTGTAACTGATACAAAGGTACAACAGTTACAACACATCTGTAACTGATACAAAGGTACAACAGCAGCTACAACACATCTGTAACTGATACAAAGGTACAACAGCAGCTACAACACCTCTGTAACTGATACAAAGGTACAACAACAGTTACAACACATCTGTAACTGATAAAAAGGTACAACAGCTACAACACATCTGTAACTGATAAAAAGGTACAACAGCTACAACACCTCTGTAACTGATACAAAGGTACAACAGCAGCTACAACACCTCTGTAACTGATACAAAGTTACAACAGCAGCTACAACACCTCTGTAACTGATACAAAGGTACAACAGCAGCTACAACACCTCTGTAACTGATACAAAGGTACAACAGCAGCTACAACACCTCTGTAACTGATACAAAGGTACAACAGCAGCTACAACACCTCTGTAACTGATACAAAGGTACAACAGCAGCTACAACACCTCTGTAACTGATACAAAGGTACAACAGTTACAACACCTCTGTAACTGATACAAAGGTACAACAGTTACAACACCTCTGTAACTGATACAAAGGTACAACAGCAGTTACAACACCTATATAGCTGATACAAAGGTATAACAGCAGCTACAACACCTTTATAGCTGATACAAAAGTACAACAGCAGCTACAACACCTTTATAGCTGATACAAAGGTACAACAGCTACAACACCTATATAGCTGATACAAAGGTACAACAGCTACAACACACATAGCTGATACAAAGGTACAACAGCTACAACACCTATATAGCTGATACAAATGTACCACTAAAATATGAAATAGACATAGCACCTCTATAACAGTACAAAGGTACAACATACCTCTGGAATATGTAATTATAAACATTTATAGCACCTCTGTTATAGTACAAAGGTATAACAAACTTACATTTTCTCTGATTATTTTGGTTGTAACCTTTATTTTGGTTGTGACCTTTATTTTGGTTGTGACCTTTATTTTGGTTGTAACCTTTATTTTGGTTGTGACCTTTATTTTGGTTGTGACCTTTATTTTGGTTGTGACCTTTATTTTGGTTGTGACCTTTATTTTGGTTGTAACCTTTATTTTGGTTGTAACCTTTATTTTGGTTGTGACCTTTATTTTGGTTGTGACCTTTATTTTGGTTGTGACCTTTATTTTGGTTGTGACCTTTATTTTGGTTGTGACCTTTATTTTGATTGTGACCTTTATTTTGATTGTGACCTTTATTTTGGTTGTGACCTTTATTTTGGTTGACCTTTATTTTGGTTGTGACCTTTATTTTGGTTGTGACCTTTATTTTGGTTGTGACCTTTATTTTCGTTGTGACCTTTATTTTTGTTGTGACCTTTATTTTGGCTTAGATTAAACGTTTTTTTGGATTAGATTGAACGTTTTTTTGGCTTTGAACTTTTTTGGCTTGGATTGAATTTTTTTGGCTTGGATTGAATTTTTTTGGC